TCCTGGTACAGTTCCCAGCACTTTTGCACAGTCCGTGAACAGGTACATAGCCAGAAAATTGCATTTCATCATGATGTCTTAGAAATATTTGTTCAGTAAAGTGAGGATTGTTTTTCTTCAATTTCTCCCCCCCCCCGCCCCTCAGTAAAAGAGATGTATAATCTCACTTTGTTCTCCTGTACCATGTGTTTATTATACACACAGAAGAGGGATAGTGAACACATATGAAAATTTAGAGAAATGACCTAGCTGTTCTCATAAATCTACTGTTACAAGAAACTAAGTGTTTGATAAGACATAAATTTGAATTTATCTTGTGACTCCCACGGATCTGTTTTGCCATAATTTGTCTTTTGTCTAGGCAAATGGAGATACCATTCAAATAAAACTACCTAGAATTGTTGGGTGTGGCAAATAAGTTGAAAAATAAATAAAGAACTAAGTTGCAGCCATTAACTATTTTTATTACCAAAAATTGTTCACAGGGCACTGAATCATTCTAGTGATACAAATGATCTATGTTAATTAATTTTTAAGTAAAAGAACTACAATCAGGAATGTATCTGAAGAGAATGGCTGATCTTAAACATAGTAGCATAGATCTGAAAATGTCTACAACACTCTTGATATTTAAGTCTGTTTGTAAACTGAGCAATTTTAATTGGAATGCATTTGTTTATTAGTTCAGTTTACAAGGGACCCATTACCCAATGACTTTATTTTACCTCTTATTTAATTCAGGGTACAAAGGTTAATAAATCTTAGGTTTTAATATCTAAGGTAAAAGCAGTGATTTTCTTTCATATTATTTATGTACTACTGAAAGTGTTTGCTTCATGGTTAAAACATGTGATTTGCTTGTGTGGTTAGCATGTTGTATGAACTCAGAGAAATATAATTCAGTATTTGAAATGTATTTGAATATACACTGCTCCAAAAAATAAAGGGAACACTTAAACAACACAATGTAACTCCAAGTCAATCACACTTCTGTTAAATCAAACTGTCCACTTAGGTAGCAACACTGATTGACAATCAATTTCACATGCTGTTGTGCAAATGGAATAGACAACAGGTGGAAAGCATAGACATAGCAAGACATCCTCAATAAAGGAGTGGTTCTGCAGGTGGTGACTACAGACCACTTCTCAGTTCCTATGCTTTCTGGCTGATGGTTTGGTCACTTTTGAATGCTGGTGGTGCTTTTACTCTAGTGGTAGCATGAGACTGAGTCTCCAACCCACACAAGTGGCTCAGGAAGTGCAGATCATCCTGGCACATCAATGCGAACTGTGGCAAGAAAGTTTTCTGTGTCTGTCAGCGTAGTGTCCAGAGCATGGAGGCGCTACCAGGAGACAGGACAATACATCAGGAGACGTGGAGGAGGCCATAGGAGGGCAACAACTCGGCATCAGGACCGCTACCTCCATCTTTGTGCAAGGAGAGATAGGAGGAACACTGCCAGAGCCCTGCAAAATGACCTCCAGCGGGTCACAAATGTGCATGCGGCTGCTCAAATGGTCAGAAACAGACTCCATGAGGGTAGTATGAGGGCCCGACATCCACAGGTGGGGGTTGTACTTACAGCCTAATACTGTGCAGGATGTTTGGCATTTGCCAGAGAACACCAAGATTGGCAAATTCGCCACTGGCACCCTGTGCTCTTCACAGATGAAAGCAGGTTCACACTGAGCACATGTGACAGATGTGACAGGGTCACATTTTGCTGCCTGCAACATCCTCCAGCATGACCGGTTTAGCAGTGAGTCAGTAATGATGTGGGGTGGCATTTCTTTAGGGGGCTGCACAGCCCTCCATGTGCTCACTAGAGGTAGCCTGACTGCCATTAGGTACTGAGATGAGATCCTCAGACCCCTTGTGAGACCATATGCTGGTGTGGTTGGCCTTGGGTTCCTCCTAATGCAAGACAATGCTAGACCTCATGTGGCTAGAGTGTGTCAGCAGTTCCTGCAAGACGAAGGCATTGATGTTATGGACTGGCCCACCCGTTCCCCCCCAGATCTGAATCCAATTGAGCACAACTGGCACATCATGTCTCACTCCATCCACCAACACCACGCTGCACCACACTGTCCAGTTGTTGGGGGATGCTTTGGTCCAGGTGTGGGAGGAGATCCCTCCACCTCATCAGGAGCATGCCCAGGTGTTGTAGGGAGGTCATACAGGCATGTGGAGGCCACACACACTACTGAGCCTCATTTTGACTTGTTTTAAGGACATCACATCAAAGTTGGATCAGCCTGTAGTGTTTTTTTCCACTTTAATTTTGAGTGTAACTCTAAATCCAGACCTCCATGGGTTGCTAAATTTGATTTCCATTGATAATTTTTGTGTGATTTTGTTGTCAGCACATTCAACTATGTAATGAACAAAGTATTAATAAGAATAATTCATTCATTCAAATCTAGAATGTCTTATATTCGTGTTCCCTTTATTTTTTTGAGCAGTGTATGTAGCTTGGATTGGTATAGTTGGGCTGTGGGGCTGAGCTTCAAGCTTGGCAATTTGGTTGTAAATGTTTCACCACCATTCAAGGATACATAGTCAATGCACTTGATGAGCACAATTCAAAGCACACTGATGATGTCTCTTCAGCCCAAATAATTCAAATATGGACAAAAATCAATACTGGACATACTTTATGCCTAGTATATAATGTTTAGATGCTCTCTCTATTCCATGTTCTTTTGTTCCAAAATTTATTGCTGAGAATTAGGAAGATCTATGTGACATATATGTTCTCCATCTAACATCAGCCAGAAGTCAACATGTTGATCCCAATATTTCAACCCATTATCTCTTTCTCCTGCCTTCCAGAATCAACAGCTATATGGATACTCATTTCCTGCCCTTAAAAGTTTCTGCCATCTGTTCTTTGTTTATAAAAGAACTTTCTCTGTCATAAAAATTGGAGATTTCAGTCTCACCAGCTTAAATTTTTAGAATAGTTTAGCATAATGAATAAGATCAGACTTGTGTTAACTCTGATATAGTAAGGCATGCATTTGAGAATTTACCCATGCTATCTAGCTATTTTATGCATCTGATGGTTTAATTGCAGCTGATGAGCCTCCTGGAGGAGCAGATTACCTAGACCTGTTTCCATTAGGTTTCAGGGTAGAGTTTAATATTGCAACAGCTTTGATCATGTTTGTTGATCACCTGCAGAGTTGAGATGGCAGTCCTTGTTCTGTTTATTGGCTTTAGATATCATTGACCAAAATATCCTTTTAAGCCATTTCCATGGGTTGGGGATTCTATATTATAGTGGTTCTCTTCTTTCTCAAGGGCCTGGTACAGTTGGCATTGGTAGGTCTCTCCTTTGTGGAATGCCCTAGAATTTTATTCTCCCCCCACTCCTTTTCAACATTTACATGAAACTGCTGGATGAGATAATTCACCAGTTTGGGGTCCTATGTTGCTTTAACTGGGATGACCTTTGGGTAATCATGCTAGATTCCTTTTGATATACAGTCCTAGAATTCTTCGCTCATCCTTCCCAGGAACATCCCGTCCTCCATCACCATAATAAAGCAGCACAGTGATTGCTTAAAGTCCACACTGATTCGACAGCATATAATCAATCAATCACATGTGATAGACAAATGGTATCTTTTTGGTTTAGTGTGATCTCAAACTGCATATGCTTATTCCTAGGACTAAAACAAAAGGAGTAAGCTAGGACACTATTGTGCACTATTTAGCTACAGGATTGTTTTTTTTTTACTTTCAGGGAAACATGAGGCTTAAATAAATATATTTGAATATGCCACATTGTTTTTACTCCTTATATAGGAAATCTTCCAAAATTTGGCTCATAGGCAATGGAATTTAATGCTGCATTCCAAAATTGGATTAAATTAAAGCAATTGCTTCTTTGAATTGCATCAGTTCAGAAGCTCTTTGGAAAAATATATAACTTATCAAAAGAAATGTATGCTTTCATAAGAAAAGTCAGCAAAATCTCAACAAGTCACAGATGAGAGTTTGGCCTATTTCATTCAGTTTTAAAATCCTCTCAATCAGTAGTGGGATTCCATTTTTTTTTTTTTTTACTACTGGTTCTGTGGGCATGGCAGGGGAAGGATACTGTAAAATCTCCTTTCCCTCGCGCTCCTGGGGGAAGGTTACTGCAAAATTCCATTCCGTCCCCACCCCACTAACCTGCTTTCCAGCTCCATTCTCCTGTGCAGGGCAACAAAAGAAGACCCAGCCAATCAGCTGGGACTCAGGAGGCAAAGAATAGAAGGGGGCAGGGCCAGTCAGAGGTGGTATTTGCCAGTTCTCCGAACTACTCAAAATTTCTGCTACTGGTTCTCCAGAACTGGTCAGAACCTGCTGAATACTACCTCTGCTCTCAATGGAATGTATTTATTTATTGGCTTTCAAGGCCACCATATTCCAAAAAGATGCTGGACAGTTTATAATATTTAAGATTACAACATTAAAGATAGCCAGTATGTGATTTCCACTGAGTGCATTATTTATTTTCAGCTTTTATGATTTTCTAAGGAGTTTCAAAAAATTCTATCTCATGTGGGCACATCATCTTTGTCCTTTTATTTCATTTTATAGGTTCTTTAATTTTGGTACTGTCTTGTTACTGGGAATGACATTATCACTGACCAGATCAGGTGGAAGATAAACCCTTCCATTTATTGAAATACGATTTTAAAAAATCATATTCCAGGAGCTCTTAATGATATCCCAGTAGCTAAATACCTAGTAACTCATTTAAACACCTGTATTTTCTGCCTTATGTTCCTTTCACTTCCTAAAGCCTGGCAACTGAAACAGCTTTATCCAAAATAGAATTAATACTTAATTTCAGTTTATAAAGTGATTTAGCAAAAAGAAACAGATGTCCGGATTTTCCTGCCGTCGCGCAACCTCGCGTGTTGGAATGAAATTTCCCAGTGAGTGGGAATATATATCTCTATATCTATATATACACGGTAGGAGGAAAGTGGTCAGCTGACGTCTTCTCTTTCACGTGACTTTCCTTAAAATATGGCTGCGCCCAGGCACAATTTGTTTCGGGTGGTTTATACTTGCTGGCTTCTGTGGCTGCGATCCGCAGAGTGCTTGGACGATGGTGAAGAAGAAGGAAAGCCCGGGAAAGAGGAGGATCAGGGGGACTGTGGTTGCAGCAACAGTCGTGCAAGCGACGCGGAAAGAGCTGCACGGAAATACTCTCAGGAGGCGAATGTTTCCCAGCAGCCAAATAATCGCCGTGGAGACGACCGCTCGAAAAACGAGGGTATGAAGGTAGGTAAACGGGGCGATAGGTTGGTGGCGTTAATGAGGAATGAAAGTTTAATGATGGGATGGCGAGCAGCGGGTGGAACAGCGTTTCCGGAGCGTCTGACATTACTTAAAACGTGATTGCTAGATGTCACTTTCAGTTCAGTGTTTCTTATCGTATGTGCGGTGAGAAAAAATTAACGAACAACCATCTCAGTCACGTGTAGAATCTATAAACCAATTTATAACAAGCCCACATGCCAAGAGGTTCCAACCTTCTCTAACCTGGCATTATCCAAGTTTGCTGGATTACAACCAGGTGTAGATTAAGACATACTGAGGTCCTAAGCTATGTGAAGCTTTGTATTTACTAGTATTAAAAATGCATTATAACAAAATAATCAAAAAGTACTTACTTGGCAAGGATCCAGCACAGACCAATAATCTTAGCAAAATCAGTTATCTTGAAAAAATCCTATTTGCAATACTTTCAGCTGAAAATCTGCTGTGCTTTTCAATTTTAGAGATGATGTACAAAAACGCGAGCTGTTACACAGTTCACCCCTAGTATATTTAAAAAACACTTGAATTGGCTTTGTGTCTGTATCTCAGCTAAGGTGGCACTGAGTGGGAGTGAGATTATATATTCAGGTGAGAGGTGAAAATAATTTGAATAAAGAAAGGGAAATATTTTTTTTCTGTTGGGTCATATGGGCTAGAGAATTGAAAATATTTAAATGAGCAAGATACTGCAACAGAAAGGTGACAGAGGAGAAGAATTACCCGAGAAAAGGAAATATGAAGGACCCTGAAACTAACCATTAGAAGGGAAGCCAATAATCTGGCCACTGTGATCTGGAAGTTGCTGGTGTTTCTGAGTTTTGAGTGAAAACAGGAAGCTGCAGCTGTGCAGAAAGCTGATCTGTTGATAGGTATTGTACCACTGCAGAACATCATTTGCAGTGGCAACACTGGGATCCATGAAAAGGAAAGCTTTCAATGACCAACCATATCCACAGGACCTGAGGAATGGTGGCCAACATGATAGTTGTTATAGCTTATCATGCAGATGAGCAGTCAAAGTGCCAAAAGCAAGGGCTGAAGAATAGTTGAAAGTCTGCTCTAGAAAGTTGACGAAAGTGGAAGAAACATAAAAGTGAACAACATAATCCAGTTCTGAAAGATATTACAGTAGATTGGATTGGAGGAAGAATAGATGGGACAATTTATGATGAGAACAATTTGTGGCAGGGTGGTATAGAAGTGCTCCTCTTGGATTGAGAATTATAGGGAAGTCTGCATCTGTTAAACTCAAATGAGAGCGGGTTCTGAGAGGTAGAGATTGGAATAGGGTGGCTGCAATGGGACTCCTCCAAAAGCAGCCATGTGGGGAAAAAATTTTTATATGTTGCAGCATGTAACATTTAACGTTTTATCAGTGTAATATGTTAGTGTCTGCATGAGCAGCCTTCCTTTTCTATATGAGTTGTGATGTCTCATCACCATCAATCCTACTCCCCAATCAATCAGTCCCACTTATGGGAATTGAATTCCAAAACATATGTAAGGTATTATGTTAGCGAATGCTTAGACTAGTCTGATCACTGGATTTTCTAGCATCTAATTCTAAAACATGATTAATCAGAAAATACTGTAAAAATATGTTTAACTTCTATGTGTGTGCTTTTTATCACATGAAACATCTGGAGATTTTTAAAAAAATGTATGAACCAAGATATGTACTACCTATTTATAAATTGCTGTTTCTCTTCAGCAATCTGGCAATGGAAGCATTGCAAAATATATACTTTTGGAGTTACTGTGTGTGTATATCCAGCAAATTGTGGATTAATCAGCTAACCATAGTTAAAGCAAGACATGGCATAGGGTAGCATAAGTACTGACAGATCAGGAAATGAACATGGTGGAGGCCTGATCAGAGGATCATAGATGATTTGACAGCTTCCATTCTCTTCCTGGCAATTTATGTTGTGAAGGAAGGCCAGAGTCAGTATTCTACTCCTCCCTGTTCATCAACAGGCAGAGGTCAAAGTCTTCACCCCCACTGCCATAGCTCAGAGTTTCTTGAAAGACATAGTGCTATGCTTGATCCTTCAGGGAAGAACTTTAATCCCTTCAGCACCAAGCAAAAAATGCTATTTTCTCTTCCTGTTTGAGAACAAGCATCAGAGAAATGAAATTATCCTTGCTTATCCATAAAATAGAGAAGAGTGTTTCTGCTTAATCCTCTGGGTTATTTTTCTGCAGGAGAAGAAACATATTTGTTCATTCTGTTTTCAACTATATAACAGCTTTCCAAGAGAGAACGAAGGGTAATTCCTCCCCTTTGCACTATTTAGTCAAGAGCAAAGTACAATGAATGTAAGCTATTTGAACAGGTGAATTTTGATTACAAGTTAAAGTTATCATGGAATCAAGCTCACCTATTATCTTCAAAATTACCTGCAATGCAATTTTCTTGGCACAGTGATGGAGGTTATTTGCCATTATCTTTTCCTAGATTTTGTTTTAATATCCTGATCTAGGCCTACTTCCTTAGGTTTCTGAAATAATCCCCATCCAAGTATTAAACAGGTTAGCTTTCTTTAGCTTCTGACAGCAGCCCAAATTGGCTAAATGATGGCATGCTGATACCAGATTTTGTTTAAGACTTTATTTTAAACAACATCCTTAATTGTAAGATCAGTACAGCATTAAAAGAGATTGTCAAGATGGCTGTTTCTGGAAGTGCTTTTAGTTATAGGATTAAGATACAGATCTAATTACAGTTGTTATTGTTGTTCAGTCATTAAGTTGTGTCTGACTCTTCATGACCCCCATGGAGTGTAATATACTAAGCCCTCCTTGTCCTCTACTGTTTGGATTTCCTGAATTCATGGGATTTTGTTGTATCGGTGACACAATGCAATCATCTCATCCTTGGCTGCTTCCTCCTCTTTTTGTCTTCAATTGATTGCAATTAGCTCTTGTATATATCTCATTTTCATGCTTCTGTTAAATATGTAGAATTTGATTCAAATACAGTTTTGCTGACTTAAAACATGCTGTCATTGGTTAAAATAGTTTACATTATAAGAATGGCATATGATTCTAAAACAGTGTTTAATCAGCAACTATTTAAATCTCCATAATGGTCCATTTCAGTTGTATTGAGAATAAAATTAGCATTCTCCACAAACCATCTGACTTAGTTTTTCATTTATCTTATTCCCGTCAAGTCATTCAGGGCAGATGCATCAAGGAAAACAAAACTAGATTATTTGAAATATCTTTATTATTAGGGTAAAGTAAAGCAGTCCCTGTGGACTCCGTTAGTCGTTACTGGCTGTAGGGGATGGTGCTCATCTCCGTTTCAAGGCCATTGAGCCAGCACTGTCCAAAGACATTTCTGAGGTCATATGGCCAGTATGATGTCATGGAATGCTGTTACCTTCCCACCAAAGTGATACCTATTTATCTACTCACATTTGAATGATTTTGAATTGTTAAGTTGGCAGAATCTGGGTGAGGATGGGAGCTCATTCATCAACTGTTGGGTCTCAAACTTTGGATGTCTGTTTTTCAGCTGACAAGTCCAGCATCTTAACCACAAAACCACCACACTACCCACTTATTAGGGTAATGTAACATAATCTTGAAAGTCTACCAAAGTAATTGTGCATGGCCTATACATAATAGAGTTAAGCTAGAGTTATTTTCTCACATTTTCACCTCCCCAGGACTTAATAAACCCATTTGAAATGGCCCTGCTTCCTCCTTTAATTGTCTTGCTCCCTCTGTTTTAACACGATTTGCTAAGCAGCTTATTTTTTATACACAGTTCACATTTCTGAATGGCCCATTTCCCTTAAAGATGGACACCGGGCTGGTTATACAGCATCAAAATATATAAAATTAAAATGTTAGAGTTAATTTTTTTAAAATATTTTAAAAATGAGAAAATTATAAAAAAAATATAATTTAAGGAGGCAAGAAAATTGTCAAATGGAGAAAGGCAAAGGGGAGGCTTTCAGGGCAGCAATTAACCCCACAACTCCATATGATATATCTTTCTTGATTAGAACATATATAAGTAATAAGAGATTAGTATTTTTAAGGCATAGAATTTATGTGGTGGTTCCATTTCTGAAGGATTTGTAAGCTCAAAAGAGACTGGTTGTCTCAAGCTATCAGCAAAAATCAAGCTGTTCCATCCACTTTGCTGTATAATTGATTGTTCTGCCAAGTCTTTGATACAAAAACTAAGGCTGCATTGGACATTTTCAGTAAACTTGGTGGTCTTAATACTGCTACAACTTAATTGACTTGCACTATGTAGGTCATTAGAAATAATGGCCATCTTTGAAAGAGATTAATTGGGTTCTTGGACAATACATTAAACATTTTCTTTAGTTCAGCCAATTTTGTCCTGATTAACTTGAACTGTTCTCTAGCTGTGTTTTGTGAGAATACCCCTTCACATATTATTTGCCAAATGTTCAGATTTAAACAGTATTTTAAGGCAAGATTTTGAAAGATGCTTTGTTAAATTGCAGACTGGGCTTTACAGTATCAGTTTATATTATAGCAATGATTGCCAGTAGCAAGGGCAGCTTAATTCCTCATTATTTGTCACTGTTTGTCTAGAAATACATATTGAAGGAAAATTATAGGGAATTTCTCTTTTTCAGTTTCTTCAGTGGGTGGAAACAGAAAGGTGCCCAGGAGGTCTACTTGTTGTTTCTATGTGGATAAAAGACCTTTAAATTTTTCAATTAAACTATAAGCATGCTGAATTATACTATGTCTCCTACAGAATTGTGGTACTCACAGAATGTTATATTACATCTTCTGTTGTCTCCTGATGGTATGGCACATATTCAGTAATTATGGAATCAGAATAACTTGAAAGCACCAGTTATGTTCTCATGACTTAGTGGCTCTTCAATGGCTGAGATTGCCTAAATTTAGTGGATTATAATCCAGGCTGCTGACTTGTTATTTAGCAAAACAAAATAGATAAA